ACCCCAGGTTTCTCATTTATGTGGGTTTTAGTGCTCAAGTCCCCTACTTGGAAAACCCGAAAATCAAATAATGCTACTGAAAATGATAGTCGTGGTACTATTAATCAGTGGGATGTCAAATAATTGAGTCTTTCATTATTCATTATTCCTGACCAATTGGTGGGATTACGTGGTAAATAATTACTAGTTAGGACGACTGAATTACCCCAGTTACTAAAAAAATGGGAAAAATAAGTCAACTTTTTTCTGTGCAAGTGTATGTGGGTACATAGTGCGCATGCTATGAAGTGATATCACCAAAAAATGAAGTAAATCTCGACTTTATAAGTAAATTCTTCTTTTATTTAATAAATATGTCTTTTTAAGTTGAAAATATAAACTCGTAACAAGTGATATCAAATTTTACTTAACTTTTTATTAACAGTTAAAGTTTTTATAAATTTAAATTTTCAATCAAAATATAAGATTGATCCGAATAATTAGAGTTTACTAATTAAGGTAAGTTAAATTTTCAATCAAAATATAAGAAGATTGATCCTAATAATTAGAGTTTACTAATTAAGGTAAGTTATCACTCAATGTATGTGTCACGGGTCAAAACTTAAACTCAATTTCGTGTAGCTTTAAACTCTGAAAATAGAGTTTAAATAAATCTATAAATCACAGACTTACGTTTTTAATTTAAAAAACATGCTTGATAGATGGTAGAAAACTCATTTTATATATCCAATACTCACTCCATTTATTATTGATGTGGGCTCTGTGACATTCTATTCTACTCAATTGTGCAACGTCCTCGTTGTATTAACTCTTTACATGTAGAAGAGAAAGATTCTTACACTAGTTTTGGTTTACCTCAACTTTTGTATTTTTTATGGAGTCTTGTATTAATGAAGATTCAAGTTTGCTTAAATACCACTTGTCATAAGTCAAAACTTAAGCTCAATCTCGAGCTACTTTAAATTTTGAAAATAGACTTTAAGTAAGCTTATAAATTATGAGGCCCACGTTTTTAACTCAAAAGATATATATGATAGGTGGTGGAAAATTTATATTTATATACTCAAACTCACTTTGTCTCTTATTAATGTGATATCTGTGACGCTATGCACATATTAATTCATAATTGTCATAAGTTAAATTAACTTATTTATATAAACTTACAACTATGTAATTATCACAATAAAAAATAAAGAAGGTGCAAATTAAAGAAATTTAATTTGACTCAACGGAAATTTTTATTTATTATTTTTTAACATTTTTTATTACTGACTAACGTTATTTATGGTATATTTTAAATTTTGGTAAACTTGTTTCAAAAATTTAAATTTTCTTATGGCAAGTTATTATTATAAATTTTGAAGATTTAAATATGATGATGGGAAAAAATGTCAATAGTTTAAACGATACGGGATGAAAAGTGAAGGCATGATTGGTTGACTCAACTCAACCAGTGTTCGACATGTGCCATTCATTAATCATTTTTCCGTTGTTCAATTCCAAGAGTATATATTTTCTCTTATTTTATCTATAAAAATAATTAAGGAAAATGGCCAAACATTACAAAAGTTGAAACGAAATACATAGAAATTGGATTTAAAGTCAAAATAAAAAAAAATAGAACAATAACATGATTTATACTTTTTTTAATATTTCCCCTTTATACTCCATTTTGCTTCCTCTCTTTCAGTATTTCGTTTCCATTTTTTTCTAATGATTGGGTAGATCAATCTGTATTTCTTTTTTTAATTGTCTTTTTAAAATAATAAATCATGCACATAATATAGAAAGAAAAAAAAAAGAGAAAGATATTCGTCTATCTTATTTAAAAAATACTAAAACCATTGCAATGCATGAGTCTTTTATTATAATATATAGTTATAAAAGGCCTGAACTTTTTACTATAATATACGATGGAGCTTCTAGTCATCCAAAAAATGAAGATGGAAAATGTTATTGTTGCGGATATTGAGAGAATTTGACTTGCCGAGATAAAAAAAGAGGTTTATTTTTTTTGTTCAGCAAAAAATGAGGTTTTTGTATTGGGTGAGAACTTGTGAAGGTTGTGAAATGGTAGACAATATAGGATAGTAGGTGAAACCTTCATGCATTAAAAATATTTACAACAATACCTTAGTTGGGTTTGAAAAGATTGATGATCGAATCCAACTCGAGGGTGGCATTAATATCATGGAGAGGAAGCGACGATAAAAGCCTTAGGCTCATTGACAGCATTTTAATGATATTATTGTTTATCTAAGCTTGATTGGGGACCATGAATTTAGATTCACGTTACAGGAAGCCAATTCCTTTGCGGATGCATTAACAAAGTTTGGGATTGATCAAGAAAATATGCTCTTCATATGGTGGTAACATTAACAAGTTTGAGGCAGCGATGATTAGCACGACTGATCATATATCTTATTTAAATATTTTGTTCTGTCTTGTTTTGGTAAAAAGATTTGTTGGGATACATTGTTTTGTTTTATAGATTCAGTAGTTGGGTTACTTTATGGTATTTTTTGTTAAGTGTAAGCATATATTGTCGAACTTTATTGGTCATGGCAATGTTATGCACTTATTGACTTTTTCTGATTTTTTATAGTTAATAAAATAAATAGTGATTGAGAAAAAAAATATTTGATTAAGTAATATATTCGCGTAAGTTCTTTTGCTATAACCATGTTCATGTGAGTTTCTTTGTTCATTTTCTTGAAATTTTATTATTTTTACGTAAATATGTTATATTCAGTAACGAATATTATAAATGAAAAAAAATAAATACTATTATATAGATTTCACTTATACAAGTTGTTAGTTCCGACGCCACTGACTCGACCGCAAAGATGCATACAAGTGTTGTTAATAAGTGATATACTCGTCCCGCTTAATTTCTTATCGTGGGTACAAGTAGTTCGGCACAAGGGAGAAACAGCCAACACATATTTATAGACACATATGCACAGTATAAGGCATGCATGTGGCAGGCGTACTGATTTTCCTTGCCTCTAAGGTTTAGTATTATTAGTTATGTGGCTCTAGGGGGCAAAACGGGGCAGTAGTCGCAGTCATAGACTCATAATCGACATCGTTAACGGTATGGGCAGTCCTCTCTAAGTGGACGGCATGGGCATCTATCACTAATATTGTGAGGAGGGCACCTACGTCGCAGCAGCGGTGGTGGTAGAGACAATTCAGTGGGCGGAGGTAGCGTGGCTGCTTGTGGCTAAGATTATGGGCGGAGCTATCTTAGAAGAGTGGTGTCACATGACATCATTCATTTAACAAAAATTTTTACTTCTTATACAACTTTTATAGAGTTTTATTAAATTGTATATAATTCATAATATTACTGAATTCATTAATTTGTTTACAATTTTGCAAGGAATGGGATCCAAGATTTCAAGTCAAAGCAAATTTATTGACAAGTAGTTTATATATTAATATTTAAATATTACATGAAAATATAAAATAAAATTTTCTTATATAATTTAATATTTTAATAAAAAAATTAAAATCCAAATTACTCTCCTTACACATTCTGCTCTTGAGACCTGCACTAACCCTTCTTTGGTTGCATTTTCACTTTTTTTATTTAAAAATTCAAGTTTTATATTGAATGAATAATGAGAGAACGAATGATTGTTAGGTGATATATATTTATAATAATATATTTAAAAATATTTCGACTAATATTATCATTTGTCATTTTCAAGATATGAAAAATTATTATAAAAAATTATAATTAGTTTAAATATTTTACTTGTATTAAATGAACATAATGAATTTATATTTTTTAATTTAATATTAAATTTTTTAATTTATAATTTTTAACATATTTATATTGTTTAATTATTATTATTTTAATTATAATACCATTTAAAAAACTTTCTGATCCCGCCCTGATATTGGTTTGGTGGTGGAGAGTATGGATGGCGTCTGGGATCAAAGCAAGATCAGCAGCAACAACTACTGCTACCACTAAAAGAGTAGAAGTTCCATTCCCTCTTTGTCTTCTTCCCATATTTATGTTAGTGCAAATTAAGTTGGGTAATGCAAGCTATATATGGGCAAACCCCTGGTCCTAGGGTTCTCATTTATGTGGGTTCTAGTGGTCAAGTCTCCTCCTCCGAAAACCCGAAAACCAACTACTACTGAAAAAGATAGTCGTGGTGATGGTGGAGCAAAGAGTGCCGGCGACCATTAGTAGAAAGTGTGCGGTACTATTAATCAGCGGGATGATAAATAATGGAGCCTTCTATTTACTCCTTATCAACTGGTGGAAGTACGTGGCAAAAAATTACTAGTCTGACTTCTGATGATTCAACCTATTACCTCGACTGACATACATCCCCTTTCTTATAGGTAAAGTTGGGTCAATACTAATTTTAAATTTCTTTTGTTTAAAGTTAAATTGTCGTAGTTAACATTCCTTACATATCAAAATTTTTGAATTTTGACTTTTATCATCTTAAACATTTTAATTTAATTAATTATAATATTTAAAATTTACTTCATTTAAAGTTTGAAAATAAATTTTTTCATATTTCTATCAATGATAAATATAAACAATAGCAAGCCAAAATTGAAAAGTTATGATCGACAATAGTTACAATAATACAATTTTTTAGGATGGCGTATTAGGGGAGTAGTAACATTAATAGCTGTTAAAAATAAAATTTAAAATTTTTGAATTAAATGGTTTTTTTTTTTCAAAGTGCTAGTTAACAGTATAGAAAATGATAATTTTAATATGATAATATCGTACTTTTCAAGAAAAGTTAATTTTAATATATCTGAAGGTATTACTACTAAAACAAAGATTTTTTTTTTTTGAATATGATACCAAATTATGGATCGTTGATCTAAATTTAAAAATGTATCACTAGTAAAACAAAGAAAAATGCTTCATGTAGTATAATTTGTAAATAAAAAATATTAACAAATTCATATAAAAAAACTAATGCCATGTTAATAAATTAAAGCACGGAAAAATTAAATGAAAATCGTTGTCCTAACTTCTAGAAAAAACAAGTAGTCAGGTGCCAGTACCAGCATGTAAGAACGGTAATGGAAGTATGGAACCCGGAGCCATGCCCTGCCTATCGGAACCAGTGACAATCGGGGACTATATATTGAAATCAAAGCTGGGAGAAAGTTCTTTTTCCACAATTTGGAAAGCAGAGAGCAAATCAAGCGGAGAAGTAGTGGCAGTGAAGCAAGTTTTTCTTTCGAAGCTTAACAAACACCTCACCAACTGTTTGGATTGTGAGCTTAATTTTCTGTCCTCTGTCAATCACCCCAACATCATTCGCCTTCTCCACGTTTTTCAGGTTTGATGATATATTCAGTTTTCTCCTATTTTATTGATTGCAACAGTTGGTTGGTTGTGATATTTTAGGTGATATCTGGAATACCCATTTGATATATTTCTTGAGTGGACTGTTTGATGGATTAACAGTTTCAATTTCTCTGTGTTAAATTGCAAATTTGCCTGTTTCGCTTCATCCCCGGATTTGTTATTTCGTATTGCTTGGCAATTTCTGGGGAATTAAATCGGTCTTCGCTTTCTATTTTCTCAGAGGAATTTCTGTTATATTATCTGCAGCCTGTAAGTTGGGAGACAACAGTTTTTGTATTTAGGATTGGTTGCTTTCCGTATTTTCTTTCTTTTTGGTACTTAAATTTGATCTTTAGGAGGTGTTTTTAGTTTCTATCTTGTTTACTTCTTGAATGGGGGATGCAAGTTGCTGGTGAAGGGGACTGGAAATGGAGCCAATGGGGGCTAGGGGTCTGGCTTTTCTCAAACTTCCATTTTGGCCTAATGACAAGAAACAGAGTAGGGGGAGATAGAATAGGGAAAAGATAAAGAAAGGAAAGGATAAGCAGAGAAATTAGAGAGGAAAAGGGAGAAGCAAAAGAGGGAGAGAGTAGACAGAAATAAGAGAGAGAAAGAGATTTCAATATTCAATCATTTTAAGTCCCTCTGATAATTGCTATAGCTAGTATTTCATGTACAACCATGCTAATCCCAGTTCTAGCAAATAGAAAAACTTATAAATAATGCTAATAATGCTAATAATAATACTAAATCCCTAATTACAAATGATTTCCTGGCTATAGATTCCATCAAATTATTGCCATCACATTATTGCATTGAGATTTGTGATTATGTTTTACATACTAGATGAAACTGAAGGAACAACTGCAAGCTTTTCCTGTTTTCCAAAGCTTAATATGTGAATGTCAAATACCAAGTGCCTATGATGTAGAATACATTGCTTATTCCATATCTGTTTTACTGCTCTGATTTCCACAAAAGAAACAGCTGATTTTCTTTGATTTCAGTTTGAAAGTTGTTTGTTCCTTGTCCTGGAGTTCTGTGCTGGAGGAGACCTAGCCTCTTACATTCGGCATCATGGAAGAGTTCAAGAGCAAATAGCCAGAAGATTTATGCAGCAACTTGGTAGCTATTTTTTCAATCTAGTTGATACTAAGGCTTCTTCATTTAAGATTATATTTTGGAAGATGACATTTGTTTCCTTAATTTAGGAGCTGGTTTGGAAGTTTTGCAGTCCCTTCATATCATTCACAGAGACCTGAAACCAGAAGTATGGCAAGCAATATCTTTAGCATGGTTGTTATATTTTACATTCATAATCTTATATAGAAAGCATCTGGGATGCAACTGTTTTGCAAGCAATTTCTTTTATCATCATGTGATAACAACGTACAACTTCCTTCTGGTTGTAATCTCTGTGCCTCAGTTTGCTAGTTAAGTAACTGCCTCCCCATTCCCGTCATCCCAATGTTTTCTTTGCAAGGTAGTGAGAGCTTCCTTCCTTGCCATAATGTGGCACCTTATGGCTAATTAACTGACAAATAAAAACAATTAAAATTAACATATCCTAAATCCCCATGATTTTTTAAACCCATGCAGTTAGCTGGGGTAACCTCATATAACAACTATCCTTATTCGGCACCACAATAGACTTTTATGTTAAAAGAGATTAGGTAACTGACAATGGTCACAACTCAAAATAATACTATAACCGCTGTTTTAGGATAACATCGCAGGATTCAAAATAATGTACGTTTTGTATTTCATCAATAAATGCAACTCATAGTTAGCTCCAGCAACTATGTTTTACGTATAACTTATATACATATTAAAGTTTTCAGATCATAATTCCTTTAATTCAGTTAACCATGTGCTTTCATTGGAGTAGAACATTCTCCTGTCTGGCTCCAAGGATGATTTGGTACTGAAGATAGCTGATTTTGGTCTTTCAAGGTAAATTTCATTTTAAGGGAGCTAATGGATTGGTATAAGACTGATACTATTTTAGGTTCAGAACTTGTCCAGCAAAAGTGAGAAGAATCTGTCTGAAAATCCATTAATTTTTTCCCAAACTAAAGTTGCATTGATTATTTGTCTGTCTTCATTTTCCCTTTCTATCGTTTCCCCATTCTTGTCAAAGACAGATGTGTAGATCCAGGCAAGTATGCTGAGACAGTATGTGGATCCCCATTGTATATGGCTCCAGAAGTTCTACAATTTCAAAGATATGATGAGAAGGTAATGGCATCTTTCTTTGTCTTTCATGAACTCTTTTGCCTCTCTGCTCTCTCTGTCTCTGTCTCTGTCTCTCTCTCGTGCTTTCTCTTTTCAAAAGTTTGTATTTGTTTCCTCATTTAAATAGGAACATACTGAAATTTGGGGCTTAGCCATAGGTTGACATGTGGAGTCTTGGTGCTATTCTTTTTGAGCTTCTTAATGGTTACCCACCTTTCCATGGTAGGACTAATGTTCAGGTAGGAGCTTTGACCTAAATGAATTGATTGACTTGCTTTAATGTCGTCTAAAGTTCCTGTTGGTCTCAGCTGCTTCAGAATATCAAATCATGTACATGCCTTCCATTTTCGAAGCTCATTCTTCCAGGATTAGATCCAGACTGTGTTGACATATGTTCAAGACTTCTTTCTGTAAATCCAGGTCTAGCATTTCTATTAACTTTATATGTATTGATTCATGTCCTGACCTGTGGGGAATTTGGCTCTAAACATTTCTTGGTTGAGCCATAACTTGGATTTCATCTGATTGCAGTTCATCGCCTGTCCTTTCAAGAATTCTATCAACATAAGTTTTTAGAACAAAAGGAATGGGAAACTAAAAGCAACTCTCATACTAGTGAGTTTGAATGCTGCAGAATTCATTCCAAGGTATAAAAATCTTAAAAGATAAGTTTAGCATAGGTAGAAGCTTCAAATTAATGTCACTTGACACTTTCCTTGGTGCAGCCTTCATGTCTGCTTTGCTTCTCTCACAATGAAAGAAGCCTTGCGTTGTGAATTTTCTCAGGTGCTTCTCTGCTGCATTTGGTACCAATTTTAACCAAGATAAGGTTTTTTCTCATTGCATCTTTTGGTATTTGGTAGTTATTTACTTCATCTTGTGTAAGATCCAAAAGGTAACTGAGCTTTTTAAATGGTGGAATTCAGTTAAATAATTGAACTAGCCAGATTAGTCTTCCATTTTCAGCATTTCCAATACGCTGCATTAAGAGTTAGTGTTCTGTTTTCAGTACTTACTTCCCCAATCCCCATCAATTTTATGGGTCACAGTGCAGCATGGTCTAGATTATCAGGTGATCCTGGAAATGCTTCACTAACAAAGAAAATATTGAGTACGGTTTCATATTGTAATTCATGGGTGTTTTAACCTTTTTAGTGACATTGCATTTTGTATAGATAGCATCATAAAATCTCGTATAATCAGTTTATTGTCACGTGTTTTTATCAGTTTCTCTTTGGCAGCTTTAAAATACTTTCTGACATAATATATGAATTATAGTTTCATTGTTGATACTTTATTCGAATTATTACTTGTCATATTGACATTGAATCCATTCTTCCAGTGCGTTATATAAAAGAAACAAATCTTCTTCTTTGAAATGTTGTGGTGACAATGGTATGACTTCGAAGTTTGTTTTGAAAGAGGCACTGGATCTTCATAAGAGTCTTGTATTCATCTAGAATAGTAAACCATTCCAATGACTTAACTTGTTTACTAGGGATTTAAGGGGATATGGTTAGTGGAAATTATTTTTCCCACCCTTTCTAGCTTCAGAGACCTGCTGTATGTGATCATGGCTATGAGATTTTATGAGGAAGCTGTAGTAATGTAACTACTTGTGCTCTAACAACCTATATGGTTGCCTTGTCAAAATCTTGTGTACTAAAATATTTTAGTATATGAGCATATTGTTACATAGTGCCACTAAAATTTGGCACGCAGTGAAACCCCTAAAACTTTTATGTATGAATATATATTTCTCAGCAAATGATCTGTTTCTAACAAATAGAAACAGAATAAAGATTTTGTCATGCTGACCATATAAGCACTTAGGTACAAGTTGGTATTGAGATTGCAAATAAGATGATTGGCACTTAGCCGTGAGCTTGTAGTGATAAGATTAGCAGCAGCGAGAATGTAGCTGTGGGAAACATTTGGTAAAGACTAAAGAATATAATGGGTGTGTGGTGGAAAAAGACCATGAAGGGCTTGAATGCTTTAAATGCCTGTAATGGAACAAATTATTTAGTATTGAAGTGATTTCAATTATTTTCACATTATTGTATAATCAATTGTTCTATTTCTTTGTTTATTGTTTTGATTTCATCAGTTAGTATATTAATGTCATTTTTATTTCGTCAATCTGTTACTATTTCATTTTATTAATTATAGAATTAATTGTTTCTAAATTTATTTGTTTATTTAATATTTTTATACTTCATATGTCTAGGTATGCTGTAGATTAGAGTGGTGTTTCTATCAAGTTTGTTGATTTAGAGAGTTATATAAGAGGGAATTTGGTGTTCCACCTTGGGATCACAATCACCATAGCACCTAGAATGCCCAATGGCGGTTAAAGCCAACTGCAGAGTATGGCAGCAATGACTTGCAACCATTACAAGTTTGGAGCGGCATCCACACAGCATCATTTTGGGGTGCTATAGGCACTACCAAACTGATCCTTTTTTTCTGGATATCTCTTACAGCTTACCTTTTAGGCAAGTTCGGTGAGCTGATTCATTTGTATGTTGATGGGTTTTAGAACGCTAACTTGTAATTCAGCATACTTACCACTTTTGATGCTTGTAGTGTTTAAAAAATGTTTGTCTTGGGCATGATTCTTGAACTTTTCTGAGACTTTTATTCAACAATTTCTACACTGGACTGGTAGCTATTTCTGAACTAGGCGCACAGGTTATGCCCAGGGCTGGATCTAGGTTGATACAAGTGGTGTCAGATGACATCACTGAAGTGCCAAAATCCTTGCTAATTATACTACTTATGTTAGAATTTTATGTAATTAATGATGCTAGAAAAATTCCTAGGTCTGCCCATGGTTATGCGGGTTGTTTTTGGGTGAAGATGTAGAATGTTGAAGCTCTTTTAGTTATTTCTATGGCATGCTCATACCGGTCATCTTTCCAAGTCTTAAATTCTATGCAACCATGATCTTTAGTCTTTACTGTGATGTGAATGACCATTGCCTTGAAAGTTACTCATGAACATTTTACTTGCTTTCCCTGAACTAGCCTTTTGCTGTAACATAAAGAAGGTTTTGGGGCATATATTGCACTTTATTTTGTGCACCTGCTGCAATTTGAAAGCAAGTCAGGTCTTCTGAGATATACAGATATCCGCCATCGCTACTTTGGACACAAGTGTCACGTTTGACGGGATTAATTTGGGACTTATTGGACCACAACATTTCCGTGTAGGCACTGCTCTAAACCCCCGAAGTTACGCTGATAGTTTCTTGAGTGAATATGCTTTTGAATGCACAAGTCGCGTTTCCAAATCTTAAATGCTATACAGCTGTGTTGTTGACTACGAATGATCTTTGCTTTAAACTTTGTTCAACTTTACCAGCCTTCCTTGACCAGCCTTGAGGCTGTAATGTAAACAAGGCTTGTGGGACATGCATTAGTATTTAATCCGTGCAATTGACTGCCAGCAATGCACCAAGTCAAGTCTTTAGCAAAGCAACATAAAGAAGGCTTGTGGGACATACATTACTTACTATTTAATTTGTAAAATTGACTGTCAGCAATGCAGCAAGTCAAGTCTTCTAAGCGGGTGGAGACTTAATGTCAGCTATAGTTTCTTACATTAATGTTGTCACGAGTCTTTGAATTTATTGGTTATAGTTGAACGTGTGCTTTGGTTTTGAGAGAAATATTGTAGATATTGCAAGACATCCAGGCAAGTCAAGTCGTCGTGCGTCTTTGCTCTTCGCGGCAGCTTCAAATGCCCTAAGAAGTGGATTAATTTGGAGCTACTATTCTTTCTGGGTTTTGGGACCGATTGCGTGCTTGGTGACAAACGGTTCTGGCCTTTGGGACCCATATTTGTGGCATTCTCTGTAACAACAGACAGTTTAAGTAAAAATTATAAATAAAATTGAAAACTTGATCAGCAAACCAATGATATTAACTAATATTTGAGTATATATATACCAAATTTAGCTAATAGTTCATGAGCACTACAAATTGTCATAATTTTTGGTTAGAAAAACCATTTAAATAAATTATCAAAAGTTGTTGAATTTCTTTGAATTTTATGGATCAAAAAACTCATCGGGACTAGTGGTTTTATGAATCAAATATTTAGAAACTGGAAGTTTGAGTCGTACTGCGTGTAAAATAAATTTTGAGGATTAATATTCCATACATTGATAATAAAATTAAAGAATTACATAATTGAGTTTACATACTTAAGGTGTATCCATTTTAACTAATATGTTAAGTTTTTTTTTTTGGAAAAGAAACTAATATGTCAACTTAATAATTGATAAATATATAAATCCGTTATGAAATTTTTAAATCTCATTGTCAATAATATGAAATGATGGTAAAAAATTTAGTAGAGCAATATGCAACAATAAGAAGACTTTTTTCTTGTAACATAGGGACATCGGCTACATAAATTTATTTTCATGATTGTGCCTTAATTACAATGGTATATATATTATTATATATTTTTCTTATGCTAGAAGTTCCTGCAAGATCTAGTTATTCTCTTAAAGTTTTATTAATAATGAGAATAAACGTACATAATGGAGAGGCATAAAATTATATTATGTTTGATGAAAAGGAAAAGAGAAAAGAAAGAAAGAAAGAGAGTCATGAAAGGAAAATATAGAGGACAAAATTAGTTTCCTTAATTTGACCAAAAGAAATTTAAGGAAGAAGGAATCACGAGTAGATTTATATTTTTTTTACAATAAAAAATTAGTATAATATTTTAAAAAATTTTAAATTATAAACAAAATTTAATTTTTATTTTTTTATTTATGATACCATAATATAATCACATTATATTTTTATCTTTTATGTGAAATAATAAATAATATTTTAATTAATAATAATGGATCAACTGTTACTTATAAAAACATATTTAACAAAATATAAAAAAGTACAAAGTCTTATTAAACCTAATAAAAATCTATTAATTTTTCTTAAGTAGTTCACGAATTCCGTATGTCTATTACTAAAACTTATTGTTTTATCTAAAAGCCTTTTCCTTCCCTTGAAACAAAAATGTATGAAATAAAATAATAATGAAGACAAAACCTGAGTCTTTGGACTCAAATTTGACTTATGAAAAAATTTTAAGAAAAGCAACATGGAAAGGACATCTTAAAAAAAAAGATGGGAAACCTCTCTTCCCCAAACATTAAAAAATAAAAACGAAATTTTCATTAAAATGAAAAAAAGAAGAAGAGAGATTGATGAACAGGAATGACTAAAATTAGTGTAGAGCTATTTTTATTAATCATTATAATTAAATTACATTCTTGGTTATCTAAATTATTTTTGGCCATTTAATATGCTAGTAAAAAATTTCAAGTTTTTACAAAATTTCTTTCTGTTAATTGTTTTTCAATCTTGCCTTTCACCTTTTGCCCAAACCAAATAGAGATAGAGGGATGTGGTGGCATCCAATATTTAAGAAATTAACAACGACCTGAAAGTAAGCGTATTGGAATGAGATTATGTAAATAAAAAGGTAGAAAAGTAAACAATATTTGGTACTTTTGCAATAGATTGAACTTTGGTTATGTTACTCTGTTGCTCAAAACAAAGTCTGCGAGCTTCATTTTCATCCGGATATATTTTAGTTTCCCCTATGCAGAAGGGCTCCCTCTTTCTCTCTCTTGCACCCAAAGTCTCTCATGGCTCATGTGTCACCTATTCTCTTGCTATTCCTTCTACTTTCTTTACAGGTGATAGCTCAAGAAAACGAGACCAATATAATAAAACCAGGTTCTTCACTCTATCCCAGAAAACACCCCAGTTCATGGGCCTCATCTTCAGGGCATTTTGAATTTGGTTTCTATCCGCAAGGCTCTGGGTTTTCGGTGGGAATATGGCTTGTTGGTCAGCCAGAAAACACCATTGTCTGGACTGCGAATCGAGGTGATCCGCCTGTCTCCTCAAACGCTACTTTAGTGTTTACAGGACAAGGTGGTTTGCTTCTTCAGACTGAGAATGGTAAAGAAAATCTTATTGTTGATGTGGGAAAATCTGTTGATTCCGCTTCTATGCTTGAGAGCGGAAATTTTGTTTTCTTCCAGAATAGGGCTGTTGTTTGGGAAAGCTTTGATTTCCCAACTGACACAATCTTAGGAGGCCAGAATTTATCCAGGAATCATAATTTGACTTCCAGTGTGTCAAGATCAAACCACTCAACTGGCCAATATTATCTCATAATGCAGGATGATGGAAACCTTGTAGCCTATGTACGTTCTGCTGCAGTTGATACTAGAGACGCGTACTGGGCCACTAATACTTTCGGCTCTTCTTTTTTGAGGTTATATCTCAATGAAAGGGGCCTTCTACTCCTGTATTCATATTCCGAAGAAAGCGTTTTGGCAACTAGCTCTCAAATTGGGGACAAAACGGTGACTATCTATAGGGCAACTCTTGACCCTGACGGAATTTTCAGAATATACTCACACCAATTTGAAAGTAATATCAGTTCAAATGGGACGAAGAAGTGGCAGAATTTGGATGATCGATGTGATGTTAAGGGCAACTGTGGCTTCAATAGCTACTGTTCCAGCAGGGATAACGATATTGAGTGCTATTGCTATCCTGGTTTCGCTTTTATCGACGAGAGCAGGAAATTCCTGGGATGTTCTCAGAATTTCACTCTAGATGGTTGCGAGGCAAGAAAAGACCTAGTGATGCATTACAATTTGACTACTTTAGAAAATATGGAATGGGAGGGTTGGGGCTATTCTCTGATGAATATGAATGAGGAAGACTGTAAAAAAGCTTGCGAGGAGGATTGTTATTGTGGGGGAGCTCTCCATTCCAACGGCTCCTGCAGCAAGTACAGTCTACCGCTCATGTATGGTAAAAGAAAAGGAGATATACCAACCACAGCCTTGATCAAGCTGATTCTGGGCAGCACCCCAATCATCCCAACTTCTCAAAGCAGTCCAAGTCCAACAGTCATCGATGAAGGAAACCAACGCCTGATTTCAACTATGGGATTAAGTTTGGGTTCCGTCGCATGCTTGTGTTTTGTAATTGCAATATCTAGCGCCTTGATATACAGGCATCGAGTGCAAAGTTATAGAAAGCTTTTAGAAAATAAAAATTCAGGATTAACCGAGCAGTTTACACTACGATCATTCTCTTTCAGTGAGCTAGATAAAGCAACGGATGGTTTCAAAGATGAGTTAGGTAGAGGCTCATTCGGAGTGGTTTACAAAGGAATTTTGCCAGGGTATAAGGGTAGTAAAACTGTTGCTGTTAAGAAATTGGAAAAAGTTAAGGAAGGAGAAAGAGAGTTTCGAACTGAGATGGCAGTCATTGGAAGAACTAACCACCGGAACTTGGTTCGTTTGCTTGGTTTTTGCGTGGAAGGTTCAACGAAGCTTCTTGTTTATGAATACTTGCGCAATGGCTCACTGGCAAATTTTCTTTTCAACACCAATGAACGCCCAATTTGGAAAGAGAGAGCCAGAATTGCATTGGACGTGGCTAAAGGCATCCTTTATTTACATGAAGAGTGTGAGGTCTGCATCATCCATTGCAACATCAAGCCCCAGAACATACTCTTGGATGATTCTATGACTGCGAAAATTTCAGATTTCGGATTGGCAAAGCTATTGAGGCCTAATCAAACAAGCATTTCTGGGATCATAGGGACAGCAGGGCACTTGGCACCTGAATGGCAGAGGAATGCCTCGCTATCAGTAAAAGCTGATGTATACAGTTTTGGAGTCTTACTATTGGAGATAATATGTTGCAGGAGTAGCATAGAAGTACAAGTTTCAAATGCAGATGAGATACTTCTCTCAACTTGGGTATACAATTGCTTTGTTGCTGGAGAGTTGAATAAGCTTGTGGAAGGTGAAGAAGTGGACTTGAAAATGCTAGAAAGGTTTGTGAAGGTGGGACTTTGGTGCATTCAAGATGATCCAACCTTGCGTCCTTTGGTGAAGAATGTGACCTTGATGCTGGAAGGAAAAATGGATGTACCAGTTCCTCCATTTCCATCACTTTCCCATGTTGCTTATTAGTGGTATCTTTTACCCTGCTAATTATTCTACTCTCATTTGTGCATTCCTTCAGCGATTCTATGTGTATTTTTTTTATATACCTCAAAAATGTCTGTACCAAGCATGTGTTGATATCTATAAAAGTTTTAATTAATATCAATAAAAAGTTTAAATTATATTAAAAATAAAATTTTTTATATTTATTAATTAAAACATAATCCACGGTGTTTTCTTTTTTTAAAAAAAAAAGGTCTAAAATGATATTATATATAGAGTACATACTAGTCCCTAGATTTTTTTTTTCAAAAAAAAAACAAATTAACTCTTGTTAATATTTATAATCCTAATTAACTCAATTAACTAAGATTAGAATTTACTGTAATTAATTATAATAGGAAAAAAAAAGAAAAAAGGCACAAGTTTCACAGATTTTACAATGAGATAAGTCTCAGATTTACAATAAGCAATTTTTTTTTTGTTTAAATGTGGACAAAGCACCCCCTCTTACCTTTTTATTTTGCAGTTCCTTCCCCTTACCTTTCTTTAACTATTTTTTCAAAATAAAATTGATAACTTTCATTTCCATCTCTACATCCTAAAGTCTTTTCACGTTCAAAGAAAGATAAAAGCAATTAAGAAATATTAACTCAATACAATAAATTTCCATAAAAAGCCAGTCAAGCGAGGAAAAGTCGGCATAAAAAATTATATTATGAAATATTACATTTCAGTTAATGAGTCGTACTTTTATAGGCTATAATATTTATTTAAAGAGTAAAATAATTTAATACTTGGGGCCCTTATAGGGGTGCACGTACGGCTAGTATGACGTGGAGAATAAGTCCATATATTTGTCAGTTTGTTGAGCAATTGCAATGAAATGAGGACAAAGACTTGATATTGGAATGAGTCAACGGAGACCCAGTAAACAATGTTGTCCACGGAAAACTTTGCCTTCCAAACCAAGACCACGCATTAGGATATGCATTATTTTCATTTGCTTGACTAGTTTTCAGTTCCACCTCTCCTCATGGCTTCAGTCGTACCGGCTCTTCTGTTACTCCTTTCTTCGGTATGCTTGGCTAGACAAGTTGAGGAAAAGCATCCTGCCATCATACGACTGGGCTCTTCACTGAAATCCGTCACCGAGTCCACATCATGGGCTTCGCCTTCTGGCCGCTTTGCATTTGGTTTTTACAATCAAGGCAGTGGCATTTCTGTTGGAGTTTGGTTGGTCGGCAAGGGCACGAGCTCTAACAGAGTCGTATGGACAGCAAATCGAGATGATCCGCCGGTCACGTCAAATGCTACTCTGATATTGAATGAGAAAGGTCAGCTTCTTTTGACAACTGAGAGCGGAGAGAAGAAAGTTATTGTTAATCCAACAGACTCAGCCTCCTCTGCCTCCATGTTAGATTCAGGCAATTTCGTACTCTACAACAATGATGGTCATATCATTTGGGAGAGTTTCAATAATCCTACAGACACCATTTTAGGTGGTCAGAATCTATCCACAGATGGTCAGTTGATCTCCAGTTTATCAGAAAATAACTACTCAACTGGAAGGTTTCGTCTCATAATGCAAGGCGATGGGAACCTTGTGCTATACCCTTCAAACGACGCATATATTCCTGATAATGCCTATTGGAGCAGTAGAACTAATGGGATTGGCAAGTTTCACCTTTATCTTAACTCGACGACAGGCCGCCTACAACTCATCAATAGCAGTAATTTGTCCATCTCCCGGACACTTGACGTTTCATTTTTGCCCGAGGGAGACTCTGACGATGAAAAGGACAACAGCAGTATCGTTTATAGTGCAAGGCTTGATGTTGATGGAAATTTCCGGTTATATACTCATCTGTTTGAGCGAAGTGGTAGACTCCAAACTTTTCCTAGGTTCCGTGCGTTGGAGAATTTATGCAAAGTTAAAGGTTTTTGTGGTTTCAATAGCTTCTGCACATTCAATGATTTCCAACCTTACTGTGTATGCCTTCCCGGGACTGATTTTATTGATCCTTATCAGAGCACCCTTGGCTGCAAGAGAAATTATTCTGAAGCACACTGTAAAGGAGGGAAGGCGAATGAAGGCTTTTATAACATCATTCCAATGGAAAATTTAGTATGGAATACTGATGTATTTTACAGTAAAGAGAAAATGTCCAAAGATGAATGCAGCAGAACTTGTTTGGAAGACTGTAATTGTGAGGCAGCACAGTTTGAGAGTGGAGTTTGCAAGAAACAAAAGCTTCCACTAAGGTATATGCTACGAGACCGAGATACGTTGTCGACAGCTTTCTTGAAGGTGGGGGTGAGAAGTCTTGAAGCAGAGAACGAGAGCATACCCCTTGAAGTAATTAAGCCACCGATGATCACAATCGAACGGAAAGAAACGATGGTGCAATTGCTTCTTCTAACTTTCAGTCTTGTTGCATGTTCATGTGTATTGCTTTCAATCTCTGGTTTATTCATTTATAAATTTCGAGTTCTGAGATACAAAATGCTGTTGGAAAATGGAAATTTGGGCGTAAATGAGGAGCTCACTTTGATATTATTTTCATACAATGAACTCCGGAGAGCAACAAATGGTTTTAGGGAAGAGTTGGGTAAGGGATCATTTGGAGCTGTCTACAAAGGGACTTTATACAAAGGTCGAAAGTCAATAGCTGTGAAGAGACTGGAGAAGTTAGTGGAAGAAGGTGAAAGAGAGTTCCAAGCAGAAATGCGAGCGATTGGGAGAACTCACCATAGGAACTTAGTTCGACTCCTGGGTTATTGTGCTGAGGATTCTAAGAGGCTTTTGGTTTATGAATACATGGGCAATGGCTCCCTTGCAAACCTACTTTTCAAGACAACAATGCGCCCAGATTGGAATGAAAGAATAAGAATAGCCCTGGATGTTGCTAGAGGAATCCTCTATTTACATGAAGAGTGTGAGAACCCCATCATCCATTGCGATATAAAGCCTCAGAACATACTGATGGATGATTCTTGGACAGCTAAAATTTCTGACTTCGGGCTGGCAAAATTTTTGATGGGAGATCAAACAAGGACCTTCACAGGGGCAAGAGGAACTAGAGGATACATGGCGCCAGAATGGCACAAAAACACTCCAATATCAGTGAAGGCTGATATTTACAGTTTTGGAATTGTGCTACTGGAAATTGTCTGTTGCAGAAGGAACTTGGACACCTCTGTATCAAAAACGGAGGAAATTATTCTGTCCACGTGGGTCTATAGATGCTTTGTTGAGAAGGAGTTGGATAAACTTGTGCTTGGTGAAGAGGTGGATAAGAAAAACTTGGAAAAAATGGTGATGGTGGCACTTTGGTGTATTCAAGATGAACCAGCTCTCCGTCCTTCCATAAAGAGTGTAGTGATGATGTTGGAGGGGATAACTGATATATCTATTCCTCCCTGTCCATCTGCTTCCTCCATGTAAACAGGCAACAATCATCTCCTTGAGTTTGCTCCATGTATTTATTATTAGATGTACCTAGGATTGCTCCATGTATTTTCCTTTCCTTGACATAATAAATACAGAGTGCATGAGTGAGTTATGTAAATTTCAATTGTAAAACTGTTAAACAACTTAAATCAAATCATTCTAAATTTAGAAAGTTAAGATCACTGGATATTTAATTATGCTCACTTTCCAGATTCAATCCACAATAATATATATAATTATCAAGCTTAATCATTAATCAACACATAAACATAGAAAAGAATCATTCAATAACCCAAGACAATATAACTATTGATATACCTCTTGAATTGAACTATTTGATGGTTTAACAGAACTATTTTGTGTTAAAATGAGAATTTGGTCATTTCGATTTCATGTGATTAATGATAAACAATTATACAGACCATGTACATATGGAAAATGTTCATGTCTTGTGCGGCCTCATTCGGCCCATTCAATTTGGATCGGATAAAGATTTTAATACTTGACCCGGTTTAAGATATAAAATATATATTTTTTATGTTAATCATTGTACAACCTACCTCCGCAAACTCGCGGCTATTCCACCGAACCCACCAAGGTGTTTGGCTGCTGACCTGAGTAATTTTCGACTTTTATCCATGGCTCCAGCCAAGAAGGGAAAAGCGAAGGCCGAGAAGGCGGAGCCAACTCAGTCCTCTAAAAACGACCCCAAATTCCCATCGTCCATCCGCTCGGTTCCTCCCTCGTCTGTTGCCATCACCATCCACGCCAAGCCCGGCGCCAAATCGTCCTCCATCACCGGTCCAATACATTTCCTTTTCTTTTAACCTACCTTATTCTGTTTCTACTATCACCCATCTTCCCTTTTCTTCACCTTTATAGTACTTTTTTTCTTGGTGGTGAGTCCAGATTTTGGCGATGACGCTGTAGGGGTCCAGATAGACGCGCCTGCCAAAGATGGTGAAGCTAACGCGGCGCTTCTTGATTATATTAGCTCCGTCAGTTCTTTTCATCTTCCCCCAATTTTTTTCCTTTATTAATTTTTATCTCTATTGATTTCACTTAAAGAGGAAAACCATTTTCCAACTAGGTGGGTACTACGATTACATTGTTATAGTGATAATTTGGTTACGTTGAATTCTTATCATAAGAAAATAAATCAATGTATTATGATATCTTGAACTGTGCCCGCTAATCTTTCTTTTATATGTGCCACCCGCTTGTTGGAATGGATTCCCTTCTGTTTGTTCTCCGTAGCTAAAATTCAGGAAATAAGAGCTATGCCCTTACAGGAAAAGTGTCTCTGGGTGGAATTCTAAATCTGCTTTCCCTTCTAGGAACATTTGCCTGATATGTCATCTTGCATCACTGGATTGAAGGATTTTACCTATAACTTTCTAGTTGATTAAGGCTTCCGCCATAATCTTTCTTCTTTGCCATGGTCCTGTCAAATTTCCCAATGATAGGAAAGTTCAATAACTTTTAGCTTCTGAATTATTTAATGTATGTGTAAATGTAGTAGTCCCATGTGTCACACAGCCTGTCCACTCCGGTTCATTTGTGCAGGATGAGAAGGTTGTGTAAGTTTTTGACTTGGAGAAAGGATTGTAGACAACCAGTGTTTATGGATTTATGGTTAGGAAGTGTTAAGGCTGAAGCAAGTTAGAATAAGACCAAATGGAGCATGCATGAAAAAAGAATCTGGACCTGAACTGCTCTGGCTAATTGAGATCCATCAAATCTGCCCAAATAGCCAGGAGATGTTCCTTTGAAGTCACTGATGATTGTGATTGAGAGCTTTCTTTCTTCTGGGGCAAAAATAGGTTGTAAATGTTATTGTTTATGGCTCATATGATTATACAAGGTATATTTCTTTTTTTTCTTTGGTAGTAGTGAACTGCTAAAAATTCATTCTCTATGTTCTTTGAATTGAACTTTGACTAATCCATTCTTAGAGAATGTGCCTTTGTTTCTTTTATGATGCATATTTCACCTAGTAACAAGACCTTAACAAAATATGATAAGTTGTCTGTTTGTGGACTGGAGTGGATATTAAGAGCAATTTTTATGTAAGTTGACGGTTGTGATTGAAATCTGGGGTTACATCAATAATGTTAGTTAAAAGCTTTATGTCGTACTCTTCTTGAAGTATTTTTCTCTTCAATGCTCCCTCCCCTGCCCCCATTTTATTATTCCCTGTTTTTCCATTTTGTTAGAATATAGTTAATGCAATGAAGTTTTAGAACTTTTAATTCTTCTCAAATGGCAGGTTTTGGGGGTCAAAAGGAGGCAGGTTTCGATAGGTTCTGGCTCTAAATCACGAGACAAGGTGGTGATTGTGGAGGAGATAACCCTACAGAGCGTATTTGATGCTTTAAACAAATTGTCCAAGTGCTAGCTATGGAGAGACACAGTGTCAAGTGCTAATTATTGTAAGATGCTGTTTCTAGCCATTGATGATACTTGTTACTTCCTTCATGCAACATGATGCTAACGAAATGAAGTGCATATTGGGTCATTCTCCTGAAAGTCCTTGCAAATAATTGGGGCATTTAAAAGGCGGGGCCTTTTGTCACATTTCACTTGTAAAACAGTTACTACTTGATCCGGTTATAGTAGTTGCAGTTTTGATGCATGATTGTTGTTGAGGAGATTCAGGCAACCAGACCTACTGCTGTCTACAGAATTGTTGATCATAGTCACAACTTGAGGAGTTCAACTTGTTTCACGCATCTTAACTAGTACAGAGGCACACGTTGTACTTACAAATGAGAGAAAATGAAAGTTGTTATGTACTGTTTATTTGATCTTGAGGCTAAGGTTCGCATAAATTTTATTCATTTTGCATAACATCTTCTGGTGAATGTTACAGCAATCTTTCAATTAAAAGCCCTTGGAAATGAAGGTAGGCTTATGTAATATATAGCATTTACAAGTTAGAGAACTTATAAATAGGCAGAAATTACTCAGATGAATTCTGCTTCCAACATCTTGACAGAATTAGATGGTTTAAGTAGCAATTAGAAAATGAGCTAGGCCAGGAGATGATGCCAACTGCCCCTCCAAATGAAACTTTTTTCTATTATTTTTTCCTAAACAATTTGTAGGACATATACCTCTGCTTCCATATGAATCCTATTTCTCTTGTTACGATGAAACAAGACCCTTGAGAAAGTATAATAATCTTTCCGTGAGAAATTAAAAAGTTTATAATTGATTAACGGACGTGGTTGGAAAACAAAGTGCATCGAAATTTTTCATCAGGAAGGCAAATAACCTGCCTTGCCTAGGTTATGTAATTAATTCCTATGCACTCATGGTTTCCTTTCCACGTATACTTGCCTCCGTAGGGTAACATATTTATAATAATAGAACAATTTTTTTGTTCCTTTCTGATATTTTTCAACCCTTTGCTACCTGTTGATACAGTATATTTTAGTTTAGGAGTCTCCACAATATTCTAAGGTATTTTTGTTATTTTACTCACGTGTTGATGATACTGTGACAAAACTTGAAATTCTCTACTTGTCTAGATTTAATTAGACTGGAGATAGAAATGAATGTCTAAATAGCTATACATATAAACAAAAGAAAAAACTTGCTGCTAAGTTTCTAATAAATTTAATTTACATTGCATAACAGATAAGTTTACTGTAAGTTTAAATTATATTAGCATTGAACTAAAATCTTGACGTAGCATCAAACAAAAGAAAGGGAATGTCATTTATTCGCGGTCACAAGAAATTTTTATTAATACAACATGTGGCAAGAAGCAAACTATGGTCAATGTTAGAACATGAATTGTTAGAGATGATGGATCGTACACAATTCATTTGATACGGAGAAAGACGAAAAAGGTGTGCCAATAATTGACAATTAAATAGCACTGAAAAAAGAAGTCGGGCTGGGCGGAACTGGGATGTCTACTGTTCCTTCTAACATCAATAGAACCTTCTTCATGGAAGGGCGGAGTGTTGGCTCGTCCAAAATACACCATAGTCCGACTCTCACCATCCTTTCCAATTGTTTCACGTCAACCTCTTCATCATCCCCAATTAGTTTCCGTAGTTCACCACCCTGAAGACAATGGTAGACCCATTCTTCAAGGACGGCTTCTTCCTCAAGAAGGCTCCAATTCACACTCCGCCGACAACATATGATCTCCAATACTACGACTCCAAAGCTGTAAACATCTGCCTTGACTGTAATTGGCAGTTTCCTGTGCCACTCTGGTGCAACATACCCCCTTGTTCCTCTGATCCCAGTGAAGGTTTTGGTTTGGTCTGGCTTTAGCAGCTTGGCCAAACCAAAATCAGATATTTTTGCATTCCCCTGTTCATCCATTAGTATATTTTGAGATTTGATGTCACAATGGATTATTTGGGTATCGCACTCTTCATGAAGATAGAGGAGACCTCTTGCTATGTTGCGAGATATTTCCACCCTCTCATTCCAGCAAGGTGGTTTTTCAGGTGTAAAGAGCACATCAGCAAGTGATCCATTGACCATGTACTCATACACCAACAGCCTATTAGCTCCTTCGTGGCAATATCCGATTAGTCGAACTAAATTTCGATGATGAGTTCTGCCAATAATTTTCATCTCGTTTTGAAACTCTCGTTCCCTTGATTTGATACTTTGTCCAATTTCTCACTGCAACGACCTTCACGCCATTATCCAACCTTGGCGGTCCCTTTGTAAACTGTTCCGAATGCTCCTTTTCCAATTTTTCCTTGAAATATGAGTCATCTGCTCAATTTCTTCAAAACTAAACGATATCGGAGCAACATTCTCGCACAATCTTATGCCGCTATGAGTAGAAAACCTTTTGTACCTGAAAACATGACTCCTATAAATGAAAGCCCCAGAATTACCAACACAATGATTGCAAAACCAATCAGTGAAACACCTATAATTAGAATGTCCATTCGAGGTTTTTCCTTTCCTTCTTTAGACACGTTGCTTTTCTTTGATTCACTGGATATGCCTACCTTGATCAAGCTACGTTTGAATCACGAAGATTCCTTCTCCCAAATCTCAGAGGAAGCCTCTGCACTTGCACTCCGCGTCTTTAAACATGGCAGCTTCACAGGTGCAATCCTCGAACATGCTGTTCGCAGTCTTCTTTGGTTGTTAAAGACAGAACAGAATATCCAGAATCTTCCCACACAGTATTCTCAACTGCCTGAATGGTGTACTGGATTCTCCTGGATCGCTTTTGCAGCTCTCGGTGGAGAAATTCCTTTCACAGCCTGCACTAATATTGCCCTCTATAACTCGAGCAAATCCTGGAAGACATCTACAATCAGCTTCTTTATCTCATTGTAACGCAATAGCTATTAAGCCCGCATAGACCCTTGGGTCACATTGGTCATACGTAGATGACCATATAACTGATTGATTCCCACTCTGATTGAATTCGTAAGAATACAGTCGGAAAGTACCATCCGAATCAATTTTCATCAGATAAATTGTTCCATTTTTATCATATCCTCCTCCAAATATATCCTTTATGTTGAAGCCTGTGGAATTGGACAGGTATAGATGTCCATCTTTATCAAGATTCAGGCTCACATTATCTCCTCTGCCATCTTACCAGATGCCCAATAAGCATAGCTTGCTGTGTCGGGAGTTTCCACAGGGTACTGCACAAGGTTTCCATCATTCTGCATCTTAAGACGAAATGTTCCTGTTGACTGGTCAGTTTCTGAGGCGCTAGAGAACAGCTCTACCCCAGCTAAGAGATGTTGTCCTTGTAGAATGGTAGTGGTAGGATGATCGAAGCTCTGCCATATTACTTTCTGGTCAGAATTGTATACAACAAAATTACCAGTATTAAGCATGGAAGCTGTGGCAATTTTTTCAGAAGAATCAATGATGTATACTTCTCGTCCTTGCGGTGATTGCAGAATGAGCCTTCCATCAGTCGTAAGATTCAACCTAGCTGTGCTTTTAACTTGAGGATCATCTCGGTTGGCTGTCCAAACCACTGTCCGTTGGGGAACTCCAGCAAGAAAAATTCCTACAGCATAGCTCTTGGCAGCTTGCTGGTAAAATCCAAAGGCATATAGGCCAGAAGGGGATAGCCATGCAGATTGGCCTGTGGGTGTTAGCGATGAGCCTAGAGTTATGTTGGTATTCCTTGTTTGAGCTACCGCAGTTGACATGACGGAAAGAAGAAGTAATAAAATGGTGGCCATGTCTATTGAGTTAGAGAGTTATCCTTTATCTGGTTTGATGAGCTTTGAGGTATACACGGTTAAATACAGATTGAAGAAATTCAAGGATTTAGGTGGGAATGACTACAAACAGTGAGAATACGATTTATTGGTTAACCATTTGAAATGTCTTTGTCTATACGGTGTGGGGTATAAAATATTAATGAAATCAGCAGTAGATGTAAAGGGCAACGTATCATGGTTAATTTACCATTGGAATGGATTAGTCCAGTCTATTCAGGCTTACTTTTTACATTATTATATTGTATAGGATAAGTTGCACAGTGGTGTCAGAGTCGAGGGACCATGACCATTGACTAATGCCATTATCATTGGAATAGTCAAAATATTGAACATTGAATGAATTGGAGAGTGGAGCCCTCATCTTTCCTTCTCGATCCGTTTGTCATCGTTCCACTTTGATCAACTTGTTGAATGGTTGCAAGAGGAAATGTTATTGGAAACTTGGGTGAACCCCAAGTGTCATTTGTTGCTAGTCAAGTATTAGGTCCTGACGGAGGTTATGCATGTTCCCAGTTGGTACTTGGTATTAACCCTTTTTATTTGATTTGAAGATAATAATATTAACTGCGCCCTTTCTCTTCAAATTACTCATCAACGATAACCTTTTGTCCATTTTTTTATTATTATTTCTTAATTGACTTTGAAATCTTGATATATTAGTCCTCAATATTCAATATTTTGAAGAGCTTTAAACTCAAAACTTTTAATCATTATTTCTACGAAAATTGAAATGTACACAATCTTTCGATAAATAGTTATATATCAAAATTTAAGAGAAAACGTACTTAAAACGAAGAACAAACAAATTGAATATTCCACAACAATATTTGGAGAAATATCAGAATTAAATGTATGGGCACGGTCATAATTATTATTTTGAATCTAAACGAAAAGAGTGTTTGCCACGAGGAAACTTAACTTCCAGTCCGATAGAACACCACCAATTCAAAGTCTTGGGATTTAGCAAAGGTTTCTACTAGCATTCTTTCCTTTAAGAAGTAAAGGACTAGCGGATTTAGTACTCCTATCATCGGATTTTGAGGAACGAAACTGCTTCGAATTTTGCATCCTTTTTTTCTTCACCAATAAAGTATTATCATGTTGTATAATAAAATAGCAAAATATTATATTAGTATTAACAGTAAATTATCTTCTTTTTTTATAAAAAAAAATGAGTTTTATTAACTATACAACCAAAATATCATTGTTAATCCCAAGCACGGGTATAAATTTTATAAAAAACCCTTCAAAAAAAACTTTTTATCAATTTTTGAACATAGATAAGGGAATACATAACTCTGCACTTAACCATTTTGTTTCTGTGACAATACCTTTTTTTTTTGGTCTAATTTTGAGTTTTTGGGCAGTGACTATTCTTTACAGAGGGAAAAGAAAAAACCCCTCTCAATAGCTGACGGTTTTGCTAAAGTTAGGATATTGAGAACTGATAACTTCAATACCTTGCTTGAGCCACTAGGAATGGATCTTTCCTCTGAAGTTTAGCAAGAGTTGTTATTTATTGAATTTATCAATTGGACATTTCCTGTCATGTAGGATAATTTTAAAATGTACAAATGATTCACTTTCCCTGTTCGCACATTAAACTATTTTTGATGCTTGTCAATCCTTGTATGTGAAGATGCTTTTATTTTTTTAAAAGCTGTTTAACTTATTATCTGTTTAAGAGACTTCATCAATAAATTTACCTTTAAAAAAAAAACTATCTGTTTTACTCTTTTTCTAAGAACACCTAAAACAAAGATAGGTTGTGCATCAAAAGCTTTCCAATGAAAATTCGCCATAAATAACATAGTGGAAAAACAAAAGTGCATTGTAATTTTCCACCAGGAAATGACAAATTAACTGTCTTGCCTAGGTCGTGCAACTAATTACTATATACTTGTATTTTCCTTTTCAGGACACTTACCTCTGTAGAGTAACATATTTATAATAATACAACAATTTGATGTTCTTTTCTAATGTTATCAACCCTTCTCTATCTTTCAGTATTCAAAGGTACTTCTGTTATTTTACACAAGTGTTGATCCTAATTTGACAAAACTTGAAATTCTCTACTTGGCTACATATAATTACACTCGAGATAGAAATGAATGTCTAAGTAGCTACACATATAAACAAAAGAAAAAACTTGCTGCTAAGTTTCTCATAAATTTGACTCATATTGCATAACAGATAATTCTACTATAAGTTTAAATTATATTAGCATTGAACTAAGGTTTGATACAGTATTAAACTACAGAACCGGAATGTCGTTTATATTCAATCACAAGAATTCTTTATTAATACAACTTGTGGCAAGAAGCAATACTTTCATCAATTGATGATATACAATTCATTTAATACAGAGAGGAAAAGTTACCTATAATTACGCAATCCCATTCAAAAATCTCAACAGCAAGACACAATTAAATAGCACTAAAAAAAGAAGTTGGGCTGGGAGGTACTGGGATGTCAACTGTCCCTTCCAACATCAATAGAACCTTCTTCATGGAAGGGCGAAGTGTTGGTTCATCTAAAATACACCATAATCCGACTCTCACCATCCTTTCCAATTGTTTCTCGTCAACCTCTTCATCATCCCCAACTAGTTTCCGTAGTTCACCACCCTGAAAACAATGGTAGACCCATTCCTCAAGGACGGCTTCTTCCTCCGGAAGGCTCCAATTCACACTCCGCCGACAACATATGATCTCCAATACTACGACTC